CGAGTACCAGGGCGGAAGATACCAAGATGTTCCTCGATAAGCAGGAGCTGGCCCTCGCCCATCACCTTCATGTACACCAAAATATGAAGTCATCACGGTCGCGTGGCAGAATCTCTCGATGGCGCTCGTCCAGAAGACTGTGCGGAGTTCGTGATCGTGTGTGTTGTTGAATATGATGGTGGAAATGTCCAATCAGAATTTAATAAAGTGTAACTTATATCGCCTTGAAAGTCGAGGAAGAAAAGTGTCTTTTTTTGCCCCCTGTACACTCGCATATCTGGCACTACCAAAATATTACAAAACTATGTAAGTACTTTTAGGACAGTATGCAGCAAAGATGTGAGATCAGAACTTTACTACCTTGAGAACACTTACCTCGATCATTTTTAGTAACTCAGGAGCAGTTGCTTTACTTAGAAGTGAGTCGGTTTGCTCGGGCATAAATGAGCCTGATGCCGTGCGACATCTCGCTAGCAGAACCAGCTGTAAATGAACAAAACTGACAACTGCGATACCATGGAACGGGACGATTAGCCTCTAAACGTTACTAACCTTATCCAAAACGTCGCTAGTGATGAAAACGGGTAGCATCAAAATTGAGTGTGGACTTCCCGCAACACATGGACCCGCATCTGCAATGGGAAGGGCAGTCATTATTCTTGCAAACGAAGAGAGCCTATGAATGGACCGCGGATCAGAGTATAGCAGGAGGTTATTTTCTATCAATGACGCTGCTCCTGCAGCAATAGCTGGAAAAGGCTACCGTGGCCACGGCTGTGAGATTCTACCCAAACTTCCAAGTCTCGGGTAGGTAGTGGTTGTCGTAAGAGTAGATAGTGACCGAACCTATGCATATTGATCTATCACACCAGATACTTGGCTCACTCGCTTTGTTGGGTCATTAACTCGAATGACTGTCAAAAAAGGGAGTGGAACTCTTATCAGAGACTGAACAAAAACTTTCGCGCCAACATGGAGCAAAACCGAAGCTCTTGGCCTTGAAGCAAGATTAATACTACTACGCCACGGTCCAGCGCTATGTAGTGCTCATTGGCCAACACTGCATTTACAGCTGACCCTGATCGCCCAGAACTCGTTTGATCCCAGAACCTCGGTTAGACGAGATTTTCTTTAGAAAATTAGGTGAAGTCACCATTCGAGACTCTATCGATGTGCCTCAATTTCCACTCCGAGTGGAAATCGAGGCACATCGTTTGAGTCTTGAATGGTTCCATGAGATGTTGAAGGATTTCCATATTGATGGCAGCTTAACGCTGCAGGTTGCGAGAGCTACATTCTTGTTAAGGTCTCTGCTGCTATTCGTTCCGCACCTGACGGGCATGTTGGAGACATTTTAGCTGATGCCAGGGCACTTCATAGTGTTGTAGAAAATTTCTGCAGCTCCAACCAACCCCTCAAACATCTTACGAACATTGATGGCTATGACTAGGCCTCCGGGTGCTTGTCTTGGGAAAAATCGTGTTATGGCGTGTCTCACCAGTGAATTTTAGTTTCGCAAAGCCTGTTTAAGACACGTGTTGGCAATCGAAAAGCATCATCAAAGTAATGATATAGTATGTAGCTTTCGCTGACACGACGGTTTGGGCGAAAAACCAATCGGGAATCACGTGTCAACGTCGTGAGTTTGGCCGGTGCGCTAAGCCCGATTCTCACCGTTCGCTGAATCCGAAACAAGTGATCAAGTAGCTTACCTTCATGGTTTTCGTGACAGGTGGTTGTTGTACAATTATGATCGCGGTGTGTGGAACTTGAACAGAAGCAAGAGAACGGCCTTTGACGCGTGACACACTCTATGCTTGACACGCCCAACCGTCCTCAGCGAACTAACGTATAACTCCCCTTCTATGCGCTTCACAGCAACAGTCTACAGCTGCAAACTGGCTTGTTGCATACCTTGGGAATTCTAGTAGTGTCATAGTAACTTGACAGAATGTGACTTTAAGTCTTCGAACTAATACGAACTAACTCATTGTTGATTAACAGCTGCTCTCAAAATTTTCGCGACTCACCTTCGAAAAGGGTTCGAATGGCAGAGAAATTGTTGAAGTCGTTGTCTGCAACGTATAAATTGTGCCCATCGGCAGTGCTGAATACTCGTCGACGTCCGGGAGTCTCAGCGATTCCCGTTTGGATTGACAAACTTACGAAATTGTCCTTCAACTCCAACTATTGTCAAAAACAAGAAAAAGGTTAAGACTGCAAGGAAATAATTATTGCGATGGGAGAGGTGATGTTGGACAAAGGTGATTCGGGAGTGTCAGGCGGTGGCACAAGTATGCCATGCCATGTCCTGCCATGTCAGACTTTAGTTTTCACGTTTTTCTCAGCCTTGAAAAGTATAATTGCCCTACTTCCCTGCTCTCTAAGAGGGCTCGGACATGACGTTACACGCTTGCACAGTCGCCTGTCACTCCAGGGCTCTCCTTGCCCTCAATAATTCCCAATCGAAATTTGATATAAAGAAGTACGAACTGCATTCTTGTGAGCGATGGTAGCTTGTGGAAGTTGAGGAACTTTCAAGATTTTCTTCAAGTAGTTCATAAGAAACCGCACGAGTAGAATAGATTAGTGAAAATGAAGCATACCGAGGGTGAATCTCATTATCAGTGAGAGCCTACTCCAAACACATCACTATGAAGGTAGACTCTGGTTCGCTGCGGACGAAGGGGCGTGTCAGGCAGCATGAGTGTGCCACGGCGCCAAACCGTTCTCTGCCAGTTGTTGAAGCGGGTATGCGACAACATTGGTAGAAAACGATATGATACAGTCTTCACTTGCTCGCTTCAACAACTGGTGGAGAACGGGTTTGGCACCGCGCCAAACTCATCCCGCCTGACACGCCCCTTCGTCCGCAGCGAAGAAAGTTATATTTCGCGTACAATTAGCACAACCATATTCTCATCGACATGCAATGACCCATTAGGCGCACGCATTCCAGACAGGAAAACTCATCCAGATTACCAAAGTAGTGGAGTTTGCTGATCGAACATTGGCAGACGTCTTAGTGAAGGAGCAGGAGCACCGATCAGGGGAGAATATCCGTTGTGGAAGGAAATGGATGGACCATATTTGGCTGCTGGGAGAGGACACAATACGGCCCATGTGCTTCAATCTGCCCACTATTTTGCTCGACAGAACAGACAGACACAATGTTTGACTTTGTCATATCAAAACATGACGTGGCCAAGCCTAACCGAAGAGGTCTCTTCCCAAAGTCCCGCAAGATAAGTCCCCATAACCAAATTATCAGATGGCACATGCTTCAGGAGGGGCTATTCTGTAGCACGGTTCAGGCTGCGTTCAGGTAACGTCCAGCGTTCCGAGCGACCGGCATCCTTAGCAATCAGGAAAGTACGGATATCGACCTAGCCAGCGTCCGCCAGCGCTACCAGCGTCCGCCAGCGCTTACCAGCGTCCACCAGCGTCTGGAGGGTTATGGAAGTACAGGTGTCGACCTCGCATCTACCAGCGTCCACCAGCGACCAACAGCAGACTTCTGGTAGAGAGTATGGTGCGATAGGACGCTACCAGCTGTCTGCTACCCTCATATCGCGCCATACTCTCTACCAGCACCTGCTACCCTCCTATCGCGCCATACTCTCTACCAGCAGTCTGCTACCTCCTATCTCCCCATACTCTACCAGCTGTCTGCTACCCTCCTATCGCGCCATACTCTCCACTCCCGGACGCTGCTAGACGCTGGTGGACGCTGGCAGACGCTGGCAGACGCTAGATCGATATTTATACTTTCCTAGTCGCTGACGCTGCCGGACGCTCGGAACGCTAGTGGTCGCTGTGGACGCTGGTAGACGCTCCCGCAAAGTATGAACGCAGCCTTGGAACATGTCACACAGCTCGTGTGAGAGGGAGCAGACGAAGCAGATGTGAAGTGACCGAAGCTTTGCTCGAGCAATGCCCCTCCTGAGGCATCCGATCTCAAAGCAGCGCAGCAGTGCACTCCTCGCAGACATCTAATTTCAAAGGCAGCGCGCAATTAATGCTCTGTTCAGAAACTGAAGCTGCTTCGCACTGCCATGGGATTGGCTCCGCTCCAGCCGATCACTTCTCACTCTAATGGTTGATCGCTTGTTACAAGTGAAATCCATGCATACAAGGACGAAAACGCATGTGACTGAAGACAAGGTCCATCGCCAGTCTTTTAATGCAGTCATGGCCCCACTGGGTCCTTGGGCCTATCCCTGCTGTTAGGAGCCCACCACTATGGAAGGTACAATGTTTATCTTCTCTTCTCGATGCCGAGTACATTTTTTTTCCTTTTCTACATTTTGGACGAAGACATCCTTCTAGAAAAACATAGTGAAACAAACGTTGGCGCTGGTTAGCGACGTGGGGGGGGGGGGGCATTTTTGCACTAACTTTGCTTCCCTAGTCCCGTGAGTGAATTACATAACTGAATTTCATGCACATGAGGCAACCAACCTTCATTATTCCATCGAAAGGGAAAAATGGAATACAACACGACCCCGTATGTTTTCACTAAATTATAAGATGAGGCTTACAGGTCAATCGTAATCGGCGTACACCATGGTAGCGTTTACCCTTCTGGAAAGGGATCTGTGTCCAGGGCAGCTGGTTGTGCATGCTCCAGCGAGGGGGGGGGCGTCGATTGACCGCGAGGAGAGGGTGTCCGTGATTGCGTCTGGAAGAAAAATTTTTTTGTTAGTTGATTTTCTCTTATTCACAGGGGGTCGGTTTGGCGTTGTTTAGCAGTGGGATCTGCCAAAGAAGCCTATACAAACTACTATTTTTCTGTAGTTTGACAAATGAATAGTTGAATCCTGACAACCCAGACCCCCCTCGACGAAAATTCTTGGCACTGATAAAAACGGAACTTTCGGGGAAAAAACGCAAAAATGGTGAGGAAGTTGGGAAAACCTAGCAAAGCGGTAAGGATAGCATGGGGAGGGGAGGGGGGGGTCGTATTTGAGGATAAAATTAGAGGCGTCGTATTTTTCAGGAAATGATCACAACGCGATGGCGTGCCCTGTCTGTGTCGTTGCTGGCAACGGGGATCAAGGGTCATTCAATACAGGTAGCAAACGGAAATCCGCCGTTCAATTTTCCCCCTTTCTTGAACGCGGCTAAACAAATACCTATAGGGGCAACAAGCGGGCGAGCTGCTGAGCGCGGCTTATGAACGTGAGGGTAAGGGAAGCGATGGGCATACAGACAAGACAGAACACACACATATGTGAAGAATATGTTAATGTGCTATATGTAAGATACCGAGAATTAGGTACTTGTAGTACGCATTTTTTTTCCTTGCACCGGAGGGACCCTTCTGCCATCCGATATGTGCTCCGGTTGGAGGCCCGGCCAAACTGTGGTTGGAAAGAAAGTCCTGTCAATGTTTTATGAAAAGCTCACTGTTTCTTGATGCTGGACGTAACATGCTTTGGTTGTAGAACATTCTGGGAGTTTTCCCACAAGGGGTATATAAAGGCACCTGGTCTTTCCTGGTTAATTACAATGTCAGTTTCACAGGGAACAGCTTCGAATGGTTATCTTCTTTAAGTGGTGCCATGCCATTGGAGCGACGGCAGCTGACCGCACCATCAACAGTGCATTGAGGGAGGACACAACAGCCGCTGTTGGCGACGGGGGGGGGGGCATTTGTTCCACCTTTAGACGTTCCCATCGACGTGTCGACCCATCTAGACAGCCTCTTCTCGAGTTGACAGGTTTTACCATGATGGCTTGACGAGCTTGCTCCAGCTTCACAAGAGTTCACAGGTTTTATACCCCCCCCGGCGTCGGCAAATGCGCCGGACACCACTATCATCAGGATCGTCCACCTCTGGTTCTCCGAGAAAGGTGACACGATCCTAGAAGACAAACCTCGTTGGGACGGATCCACGGAGTGTAAGACTCCATTTCATTTCATTTCAATTTCATTTATTCCAGAAACTTCTAAAACAATCAGTAAGTATGTGAAAGCAATGCGACGAGAATACACACTCAATTGCCACCAAGACCTCTGTCAATCACGCTGAAAAGAGACGATCTACAATATCCCTTCATTTTATAAACCAGTAAGTTTGTGTGTCGGTTTGTATGTATGTAAGTATGTATGTATGTATGTATGTATGTAAGTATGTATGTCTGTCCCGTCCGCAAAATGTTTCACGGGTTCGATTTAGTGGAGGGATGAACGACCGCTCGGCAAACCGGAACTCGATTGGTGCATGTATCAATGCAATGTTTTGATTGTGATAGCACCTCCACTATATAAGACAACCATTCGGTACACTCCGAGCCATTGCACGAGCTGCTGCCGTGGCAGCTGGACGTGTGCTCGTGCGGGGGCAGGGTGGGGTGGAGCCGAGGGGGGGGGCGCCTAGTGCCCCCTCCCTCTCTGCTTCCTTCCCCTGCACGTGCTCAGCTGGACTTGAGCACGTGCAAGTGAAGGAAGCAGAGGGGAGGGGGTACGGTGAAGGGGGGACGGGGTAGCGCACGCTCGAGTGGAAGCACGCTGCAACAGCAAGAGATGAGAAAACAACCGCCAGAAAAATTCCAAATCCATTTCATTCCATAAACCATTTGTCCGCAAAATGCTTCACGGGTTAGAATTAGTGGAAGGAAGAACGACCGCTGAGCAAACCGGAAACCGATAGGTGCAGATGTATCAATCCGATGTTTGATTAGGATAAAGCCTCCGCTATATAAGACAACCATTCGGTACCCTCCGAGCCATTGCACGAGCTGCTTTCCGTGGCAGCTGGATGTGCTCGTGCGGGGGCAGGGGGAGGGTGAAGCCGAAGGGGGGGGGGCACCGGGTGACCCCTCCCCTCTGCTTCCTCCACCTGCACGTGTTCAGCGCGACATGAGCATGTGCAAGGAAGCAGAGGGGAGGGATACGGTCAAGGGGGGGGTGGTAGCGCACGCTCGAGTGGAAGCACGCAGCAACAGTGAAGAGATGAGAAAACAACCGCCAGAAAAATTTCAAATCCTACTCTATATAATTCACTAAGTATGTCTGTCTGTGTGTGTGTGTATGTTTGTGTGTGCGTCTGTCTGTGTGTCACGAAATTCATAGCGCCGGTCCCAGTAACAGTGAGACATTGATTTCAAGAAGTGATGTAGGCGGTGTGACGGGAACACTATTGGTGGGTGACAGGGAAGTGATATCAGTTGATAAG